CGACAGCGAGAGTTGAACGTCCATTTTCGCTATGTAGCTATGTCAGGCGTGCATTGATTACAGTCCAAAGTACAGTGCTGTTAGATGTAAATGCGACGCGCGCGCATTTCGGTGGTGGGGGGGCGTGAAAACCCGCGCTTAGTCAGCTCTAAACTGACGCCGGGGCGTCAGTGTATTGGGACCCAGTTTTGTCTCGCATGTATGACTGGTCCCAATGCGGAATTTTTAGGATGACATGCATGGGAATATCCCGTAGAAGCAGAGCACTCTGTATTCTTGTGTCTGATGGGCATATCCCCCGTTGGGGGCTTGAAGGATTTTCATGCTTATGGCGTTTATTTTGCTCATTTATAGGTGAGATGTGAGATGTATGTACGAATGCACCAATCATATTCCATCGCGTCTATCCAGAAGGGTATATACGCTAGCCGCCAAGTTTATATAGAGTGCTTAGGCAGCTGGTGAGACGGTAAAGAGGGCTTCCCTGTGAGGAGCTAGGCTTTATTGGTTTGTTTATGTAGCCAAATGCTTACAGACAATCCTCACCTAGCCCTGCTGGCTACTGGTAACTGATGTCGACTTGTCGATTTGGGTCTCTTCTGTTACGAGTGTGCCGATCAGAAGCTTACTATTGGGTTTAAGTTGAAATTACCCTTCTGTGACGAGGTTAATAGGTTATGTAGTTTTGTACAACTTGGGAATCTGCATGGAGCAAACATATCTGACGGAAATTTATGAAAATTTGGTCAGCCTCAAGGCTTGCCGTCTTGCTTTCAAAGTTTCGAGTTGACGAATTGTTACACTATAGGATCTCAACTGCAGGTACGAGAGAAGCGTGATCAATTGACCAACCTTAAGCAGTACATTCGCTAATGCATTGCTTATTTCGTCCAAGATGTGGCGAAGCTCCGAGGAAAACTGGTACTTGAGTATTCTGAGAATGGCATTGACCATTCTCCTGCCGAGATTTCTTTATTGATGTATTGAAAGAATGCTGAATAAAGCAATCCAGCTTGTTGACTGGACTATCTCGTACGTATTACTTGAGAGAAGGATTCTCGGCTGTGTATACCCTCATTTGGCACCGTTCTTCGTTCGACGGCTAGGTCATGGAACACACGGAAATAGGTCTGGATTCTATAGAGAGAAAGAAGTTAGAGCGTATCAATCCTCTATATAAACAGCTCCGCGCAGCTTGCCAAATTCATTCTCATCCACCATCATTCATTCCCATCTTCTAGCAATAGCAACCAACAAGCTTCTCAACACTCACTTATAGTTTCTACCTACACTTCTTCTTTCCAGATCAGTCTTCAATCTCTAACCGTCAAAATGAAGACCACATGCACCCTCATCGCTCTCGTTGCCTTCTTTGGCACTAGCATTACCACAGTCTCCGCTAACTGCTACACCGGCGGAGACTTCTGGCAAGACAAGGGAGCAGCCCGCTACCACGCCGAGAGAGCTTGCAGAGGATACGACGGCCACCAGGGTGCTTTCCAAGGTCCGTATTCAACTTTCACAGACTTTAGATATTACTGACAAGAACAACAGGCACCTTTGGTGGAGGAGAGAAAAAGTCAGCCTGCATTCAGTTCTCTCCAACCCAAGCAATCGACTTGTCCATTCAAAACCTCAATGCCAACAGCGCCATTGATCTCGCTGACGCCGACTGCATTTTACGTCTCTCAAACGAGATTAATGCTTGTGACCGCGGTGGAGATTCTACCATTGCTAATTGGCGATTCATGTAAGCTCTTGATAGTCGGCTAGACCTTTCATGTTATCTGTTGCTAATCACGAATTTCTCAGCGCTGATCCCAACAACCGGATCTGTCAAATACACTAGCTATTTTATGGCTAGTAGCATACTATTGGAAGATGTCAATGGAAGGTGGACGGGTACATTATATTATCTCAAAGCTCTTCTCATTAGAGGGAAGGTCTCAGTACGGCTGAACTTTTTCCTTTTGGGGGCTTTCCTGCTACAATATCTTACGCATGGCCGTCCTGACTTTGGGGACAACTTCTTGATATAGATTATTTTCTTTTTGGTGGATGGGTGGTTGTTTTTAGTTTCTCTTTACTTGTCGCTCGCTTAGGTGGAATTGTCTTGATGTGGATTGAAATTTCTTAGGGTGGTTCTTTAGCTAGGCCGCTTTAAAGCTTAAATCAAAGTTTGTACTTTGGAATCTTCTCTGATCCTAGAACGGTACATAATGTAGTATGACTGAGAGTGACTATTGAGTGTGAACGGAAAATCCCTAAGGAGTAATACATTCGTCCAGGTCCGTTTACCTGGACACAGCTACCAATGCCTCGAATAGCACTGAGGAACAGAGCCTCCGTTCTGTATTCAGTAGCTTCTGGAATGAGTTAAAAGTAAGCCGTGCACATAAAATTCGAGTTTTCCTGTATAAAACCTCGTTATCTATACTCCACCCCTTATGTATGTAAGCCTATCTCCTCTTGGAGCGAGGACACATATATATTGAAGTTACATGCTATCACTACCAAGTCGTTGGTTCACTCTTGGAGTGAATACAAGATTTGGACTATCATGATCCGCTACCGCAAGATCAAGTAACTGATACTCATCAACCCTATGTCTTCCATCTGTCCGCCCAGGCTCTCCTTCCCCAAGCTTGCCGGCTTCACCCGAGGCCTTTTCAAAATCGAAAGACCATAAAATCTTGGCCACAACCAGACTCATCTCGTGGTATGCCATTGCTTTACCCAGACACCCCGTTTCTCCCAGAGCAAAAGGCGCGAAGGCGGCTCGTATTACAGCTCTTGCCTTCTCCTCTTCCTCACTCCCTTCTGTGTTTCCTAGCCATCTCTCGGGGCGAAAATCGAATGACTTTGGAAAGTATTCCTCGTTGTGCATTATACAATACGGGTTAACACCTACCATAGTCCCTCGGGGTATTACTTTCCCATCGATCACTAATGGCTGGTCGTAATCTGAATAAGGCTCACGCCAGAAGGTGCCGACGAATGGTGGCGCAACCCGTAGAGTTTCGTCAATTGTAGCACGAAGGTATTTACAACTGGAAAGCTGGACTCCGCTTTTGATCTCGTCCTCGGATGAGAACGTTGTACGAACCTCGGAAGCGAGCCGAGAATAAACAATTGGGTTTCGCGATAAATAGAAGAACATAGCACTAAGAGCTGCTGAGAGAGTTGTACTCCCTGTAGATATCAGTAATAGTTCTCTATTTCAAAGCACGCAAGTAAGGAACCACATATTTTGAGATATCTTTAGTCGTCTAAATCTACGGAAAGGATATGTAATCTTCTGACTTACCCGCTGGAAGAAAAAATACGGCCTCAGCCCAAAGCTCACTATTCTTGAGAGTATCCGTACTCAAGTCATCACCACCTGCCGCGATCGAGTAGAAGTCATGTTTTGCGTCCTTGGGAATGGCCATCCGCTGTTGAACAATATCTTGTATTGCCTTGACAAACGCCAAGCCGTTCTTTTTATTGAGCTTTTGAAGAAGTGGCCAGGTCTTCGAGACAACAGGCCAGCTCACTAAGTAAGTGTCAGAAAATCCCGAAGGACTTAATGCGAATCGCCGTAGCATACGAGTTAAAAGTGCGAATACAAAGATAGTATATGTCAAGAGGATCACTTACTAAAGATGTTAACTAGGCCATTCATGGATATCATAGCGCGTGAAAGCATTCTGTTTTTAGTTTCCACCTGCGTATTAAGAGATTGTCCAAAAGCCAACTGGCCAGCAATATCTGTAGTAAGGCGTTCACATAAGGGCGACATATTGATAGCTTCATTGTTTTTCAATAACTGTCGCAAGAAAACATTGATCTCGCTAATCATAGCAGGTTCGAAGATACGAAGGGAACGCTCAGAAAGGGCTTTCCCGTAGACTTTTTGTTTCTGTTGGTGGCGCCCCCGATCTAGGGGACCGAATATGTTTGTCTGCGGGTTCAGTTGCGTGTGCTTGTAGATACTGGCCTTGTTGATTCCTGAGTTGAGGTAGATAGCTGCTTACTTGTATTAGCACACAATTTAGGAGACCGAACAATATAAGCAAGAAATATATTTACCTCGTAAAGCTGTCGAAGTGTTGAAGACCAAACGATTGAGAGCTTGTCTAAACACGGGACCTAGTGAACATTAATGAATATTTCAAAATATGCCTCACCACACAGCTGTCTACCTAGGTTTTGGGGAAACATACCATATTTCAGATGGCCATGATACGTTGCAAGGTGAAGGCGTTTTTTTATAGCATGATAGCCACTATACCCATCCGAGAATTTGGCGACAAAAGGACCAGGATATTTCGATAGAGCGTGAAATAGAAGCGTGTAACTGAGATAAAAGAGCATCTCAAACAGAGAAGTCTCTATTAGTGCCAGTATAATTTGGAGTGAGATCTACTCACTGGAGTTGATATGATAGCACAGGCATACAACGTCAGAGTAGTAGAGGTGGCCATGGTATGGAGATAGTATATTGTTGATGGAAACAAGCTCCTCAATTGTATGGGAGATCTTTGAAGAGAACGTAGTATGAATTATACCCAGCAAGTATTGTAGCTTGGGAACATTGACTTTATCAGATACCCCTCGCTCCTCACTCAAAGATCAATGAAACAGAGGAGATACCTCAGCTCTATCAGAAAAGAGCCGGGGCTTTCCGCTTACATTTTTGCTAGGTTTTTATTGGCTGTTTCTCAGGTAACCAACAATGGACCAACGAAGGTCTCCGATTATCGTTGGTTGGTATGTTAACTGCACGTTAGCCACGAACTGGGAAACTGTTCCGTGGTCAGGTCTTGGCGTGCGTCTAGATATCGAATGGGGTATGTTTCTTGCCGCTTAGGTATCTGATTTGATAAAGATCCAATTGGTATTAATTGGTATTCTGTTCTCTCTAAGCCCGCGTAATCTCGGAGGGGCACGATGAGTTTGTTTTCAAGTGTCCTTATCGGCCGCATGCTTTTGCTTATAGCAACCCTCCTCCAAGCAAGACATTATCATTCTAGCGGTGATGCTGTTTAATTTCAAGTTTACTGTCCGCGTCTTACATTATTCCAGTTAACAAACATGATACGTTTATCAATATTGTTGCACTAGGCGAGGCCATGCCCCCAAAGTCCGCTTACTTTTACACCCGTGGTTCGATGCCTGACGTGACTATTCAGCCTCCATTCAAGTCGCAAAAATTGTGAAGAAACTACATATAACGAAAAACCTTGTGGCAACAAGCATTTGCCCCACATTCTGTATCTCTTCTTGACTTGATCGTTTCGTATTGTTTGATTTTCAAGCTTCTTCAGTGGTGTAAATACCGCTCGCTTACTATCGACCCTTACGCAGTAGAACGTTGCGCATAATCAGTCTTCTCACTCGTGACTAGTGTGGCAAGGATGAGAATATGGATACTAGGTTTACTTGTATCCCAGTTAATACTCCCCCTTGAATAAGGGTTATTTCTGACAGGTTTATGCACTAAATGCTGTAATGCGAACCACTGGTACCGTGCGCCCGCAAAACAATAAAGTTTGCGAGAGACTTCTTTTAAGTTGGGGGACGAGTACTCGTAGACTTCTACAGAGGAACGAGTGGTTGGTGCTCAACTCAAATAAGCGAGAACTTCTAACGTCTGTCAACACCTCGTTTTTGCCTCTTTACTTATCATACATTCGTTTGTCGTAGCTATGGACTTGTGAGCCGTATACATACAGTCAATATGGGGCTTAATATACACCTGAAGAACAAAAATGTAATCACCCAGAGGCTACTTCAGTATAGAGCACTGCTGAATGTTAAGGAAAGTATAAGTCAATTCTCTCATCTAAATCCCTATCCTACCACCCAAAGAGTGATACAAAAATCTCAAATTTCGGCCTACTCAACCCTCCTACACAGTACTGAGATGTACCTAAAGAAATTACACTAAGAAAATGTCGCTTAACGCTAAGAAAACTATATACATTAATCCCCAATCAGTCTAAACCCCCGGCTTCTTAAAGGACCATTTATTCATCGTCTTCATCATCAGCAGCTGCTGCTGCAAGAGCACGTGCGAAGTTGCGCTTCTTAAGGTTATACTCGATAGCACGCTTCTTGACTGCGGGGGATTGAGTGAAAGCTGCAGATCCACCGAATGGACCAGCTGCTGCGCCGTTCTGGACCTTGACGATGCAGACATTTGAAGCACCACCAGATGAGCCAGAGCATGTCATACCTGGTTCAGGTTAGCAATTGTCAAAGCATGACGAGTGATATACAAGAACGAACCTGCTGGCATTTGAACCTTAACTGGAAAGTCCATGGTGGATGCGGCGGATAAACCTCCAATTCCAATACCTGGAACATTCTGGGTGACCTCGGCCGTCTTGAATGCCTTGGGGTCAGTTCCTCCAGAGGTAGCATCAATCTTTGCGGTCAATGGTCCAGCACCATCCTGGTTGACTTGGTGGAAGGTCATGGTGACCTCGCCAGAATCGGTAGTGGTTGGAAGACCGTTGGAAGCACCCATACCAGCGGCAGCAGAAACTCAGGTCTCCTTGGTACCCTTTGGTGTCTTGACACCACCGTTGGCTTGTCGAACACCGAGGGAACGTCTTTGCATCATAGCCTCGTGGAGCTCACGGGCAGCGACAGCTGCGGTGCTGTTGGCATCACCTCCCATGAAAAGAGCGATCATCTTGGCTGGTTCGACTGGGCCCTTTGCGTTTCGGCCAACTGCGGATGCCTTTGCGGTGCCCATCTCTCTGTCTCTAAGGATGGAGGGATCGACCTCGGATCCACAGCCTGGAGTGGCACAATCACGTGGAGTCCCATCAACAACTGCAATGTGTTAGTAAAGCTCAGATGGGAATGTCATTGATCACCTACGGGAAAGACCTGGCATCTCGACTTGGTTGGCACCCTTGATTGAGTCAAGAACATCGTGTGCGAAGACATTAGTGGCAGCAAAAGCCACGATTAGGACTGCTGATGAGTACTGCATCTTGAAGGATTTAAAGCGGGAGGGGTATTAACAGAAATTATCAAAAGAGAATAAAACTTGTAATAAATTGTGAACGGCGCCTGGCTGGAAATTCAAAAGGTTAAAAGAATAGAAAGAAGGGGAAGAACTGAGATGCAGGTGATGAGAAAGAAAAGATTTGAGAACGGGGTACATGATATAGATTATATACTCGAGGAGTACAGATGGGAGTCCAAGCATAACTCAGAAAGCTTGATACTGCTTGTTCTTGCTTGGCTAGAAATAACGGATGCAGCGGCTCGTTACTGCCTCTGACGAACGGGAGGCTTGTGAGCACGGAATGCTTGGGAACTCTTCTTCCGCTTTCGTGGTGATACTTGGCCTGCGACAAGCATTTCTTCTGCCGCTGACAGGAAGCCGTGCAGAATGGGACATCGGATGGGAGAAAGCATGACGATTGGCTTCCAAAAGTTAAAAATGGAAATTTAGAATCTGAAAGGTGTCAGAGAAGTCAAAAATCTGGTGGAAGTGAGGGTTACCATGTGATGCAAGGAGCTTGCGAACCAGTTTGTAGGATGAGTATTTCCATAACCAGTCGGCTGGGAAAGTATTGATCTTCACTTTACCGTCAGATCATGTCTAGCAAGGATCTCTGCAAATAACTCATTGCGGCTCGGTGCGGTTGTGGGGGAGGCTCTGCATGTTTGGGCCTCTCTCAGCCCCATCTACTGAATGACATACTAAACAAGAGCTGCGAGTGGTAATTGGTGAAGACGTCTTTCTGAAGAGGCCAAATTCGATAGTAAAACAGTACGGAGTAAAGAAAAATCCGCCAATGACTATCAACAAAAAACGGATCGTGGATCCCAAAAGAAGATGCGTTGCAAGGAGGCATCGAGGAAGTAAAACAAAACTAGTGCCTTCATGTTTGCTCGAAAGACGTTGACTTGCGGATCAAATAACCGAGGGACGATCACCAACGAGCGGTCGGGTCAACTGGAATATCTTTCGATTCAAGCTTGCCATCACTACTGATGTTGCATGACGCAGATTGCAACTAGGACCCAAAGAGGACTTTGACCTCGTTTCGAACCGCCATCACACTGATCACAGCGGTTCGTGAGGTTCAAGGAACATCGTAATCGAGTTTTGGGAGGAAACAATCTAAGAATAGAATCTTGATGTTTTCAGCAAGAGGGCAACTTAGAAAGTGGTTGTTAACATCCTGTACTTACATACTCAGACATTTTTGCGATAGACCATAGTGCCAATAGCCGCCTGTAATTTTAGATGTTATCTTACCTTCCAGACACGTTATTTGCTGAGACTGGACTGTACAGTAAATTTGTACTGTAACTATTTTTGGAAAGAGGGCGCAACAAAGTGTGGTGGTGTGTCGTTGATACCGAGAAAGTTTCACGTCGTCGCGATGGTAGCCGAATATCACAAATACTCGCGAGGTCACGTGGAGGTCACGTCAAGGCGTCTAAGCTTCGTGCTTTTGGCACTGATGAACACCACCGCCTTAGCCGTGCCATCCAACTTCTGGGTTTGCGTTTAATTGTTCGAAGATTCCTTGTTGATGTCACTCAATTGTTCTCCTATCACAGACATTCTATTCAACCCCAATTCCATAAGTACCAAGCACAATTTAGCCTGCGGGTTGAATTTCCGTGTTTCCTCACGTTCTGGCAACGAGCGTATTCGGCGCTCAAGACCCGATATGAAGTACGGAGTATTCATGCATTTCTTTTGTTTGTTTTTCTGTTCCTTATTTTCTCAAGCACTTGATGTTACGGACCTCGCAAGAAGCAAGTTGCTTCCCCTTCGCCGGGGCCCTTGCGAAGCTTCTTGACCCAATCAAAGATTGGCTAGCTGGAATTTCATTCTGGAAGGTGGTGCTTCTGCAGCATGTTATCCGAAGCCGAGAAGACATTCCTAAACTGGGACTGGCATTCTTGGTTTCGCTGTTGTCGTCTCAGTGTTCCACAATCCGATATATCGCTTTCCATCGTCTGCAGGATGCTGCAGCGGTGCGGCTCTGTTGATCAAAACAGGGTCGATCATTGGGAGGGCTACGAATCGGTCAGAACTCAAAGAGCAAGTCCAATCTTCCTCAGTGCCGGTCAGGCAACATGTATCTGCGTCAACGCAAATATTGATTAACGGGGAGTCGGAAGGGGGAATACGAATTGATGTATAGCATCAGCATGGTGAAATTCCCATGTTCGTACAATATGACTGCACGTTGCTCACGTAGGCCAACTATAACTGCTCCGAAGTATTATCGCTCTCAACCCCATGAGTTAATTAGATTCTCCGCAGACTTGCATACCGAGTTGGTTTTTGGCATGGAAAAAGATCATGTTTGTTTCTATATTCTCAAATGCTTGACGGCCATTAGTATTACCGGAGTTCCCAACCCCAACTAGGATGGCGGTGGTCCAAAAGCAATCACAATCTTCTTCCCGAACAGAGAGTCACCAACCTGGTCTTCTATAACTCAGTACGTAACTTGCTGCAGTGGCAGTTGATTCCATCTCCAGCCGAGATCTTGTAGATGACCTGGCTCCCAGTGGACAAGAAAAGTGCCAGAGATTCATTTTTTTAACTATTAGCGTAAGTAAATTCTAAGTACTAAAATGTTTAAAATATCTAGAACAATTGCCTTTATTATACTATCGTTTTCGATAAATCATTTTAATTATTCTAAATAAATAATATAATATAATGATTTTTAGTTAAGTTAGGATAAGATAAAAGAGGTCTCTGCCACTTTTCTTGTCCACCGGGAGCCTGGCACGGTACTCGATTACTTTGGCATCCCATCCCGCGATCGTATGTCTGGGACTTTTCCTACCCAATGGATCATATATCACCAAGCAAAGATTTATAGCCACAGCCCATCGAATCAATGGCGTGTCTTGATGGCAGACGGATGCCCACAAGTCCTCGAAGATCTGGAGCGAATGATTTCTCATCATGGTCTGTTTTGGCGGATTTTCAGGCCAAACCCAGGGATTGGCGCCGGCCATGGCCATAGAATCAAGGCCTTGGGTCGGTGATTTTCATGACTCTGGATTCGAAGGTGAAAAAACGGGAAAAGAATGCGTACGGAGTAGATTGAAAATTCGCCAGCGAATGCAGAAGCAGTCAAGCAGAGCTGAAAAGTACAGACCCATCAGGGGGTTGCACCCAATCACTTGCCCTGGGAAGCCCCAACTGCAGGGAGCCGACCGCTTATTTGGAGGCGAGATTCTTCCAACGGGGCTACACAAGGTCGTGCACGGCTTTGAAAGGCGCTCACCTCAGCTGAACATCCATTACCGACAACCAACAATCACCACAACCACAAAATGAGACGCATAACGAAGGATGGCGATGGGTCCATTCAATGATGCCGCGTTGGGAGTAGATTTCCACCAACGTGGACCACCCACCCACAAGATCCTCGGTGTGTATGAGGACTCCAGTACATCACGAGCTACTTCGGGGCATTCTGTCGGCTGTAGCCAACATGAGGACTACCTTGAGGCCTAGGATCACTGATACAATATCTTATGATCTGGAGACAAAAGGGCCGGAAGTTCCGAATTCGGGTTCGTAATTATGGACATGGACCAAAAAGGAAAGCTTACTTCCTTAGGGTCCGTCCTAAGCTTTTGAATGGGATGGGGGATTACAGAACTCCGTAACTGTCTTCGTGGAGCTCACACGACCAGTAGGCCCTTCCCTTCGTCTGCAGAATAGACTGAGACCGAGTGTTGTCCAGGTGGATCGAAGATGTTTGTAGTCTGTACGAGGCTTCGAAATATCCAACTCGCTGTGAGACGGCTGCGGGAATTGGGCTAACTTGTACGTACGTCAAGCCAGAGGGCCACACCCACGACTGGAGGAAAATACGGCGGCACAATTGTGAGCAAATCCATCACCATCCGCCACGATCAAAGGAATGACCCGTGTTACACTACGCCAAAGATATGATGCTCAAGAGGCAGTAGCAGTCTACCTGGAGACTTTGTTTACTGTAGCTTACCGAGGACCTCCCTTCCATACGCAGTTAGCAGTAACCTTAGCGTAGCGAAGGCCGTGTACGGAGTACTTGTACGCCTTCACACGCTTGGTGATGCATGCATGGGCCCGACAAGACCGCTTTGGAAGAAATCCAGCTGGGTTGGAGAGCTTCAAGCCAGCCCTATAGAAATCTGGTGTGCCGCGGCGGCGCATGGCAACCAGACCCCGCTGAGGTATTGTGTCGTCTGACTGGTGGCGTCAATGAAGCCTGTCCTGTCTTTCGACTGCCATGCCTGTGGCTGCTGCGGTGCCCGCTGACTAGGCGAACTAGGTCCCCCAGGCCCCGAAGCCAAACCCAGGAACTGCAGCTGTGTACTCCACCAGATAGCGAATGGGATACCCATTGCCTTGACAGGGGCTCCTTAGCCATCTCCGAGCACGAAGTCCTCACATGGAGTTCTCTGGTTGCCTCTTCCTGGCTGGGCTGAAGTTCGATCGTCCTCCCCACCATCCAACCTTTTTTTCCGCCCCGGTCAACCCATGACCTGGCATCAGATCTATCGAATATGCAGATGCAACTTGGAATGCAAAATGTGGTGCCCTGGCATAAGCCACGAATTCCCCGCTTTCTAAAGGGCTTGGTTGATATTATTCCAGGAGCCCATTTCCGGATGAGGCTAACAGTTGGTTATCTCTTTTTATTGAAATACCTGTCAGATCGCCCATTTGCTTTTCTTCGCTTACTTTTATTTACTTTATTTGCCTTCATCCTTTGCAACTTGATTTTGGAAAGAAGAACAAAAAAGGCAGGAGACTTTCTACTTAAGGCCAACATTCGCCTCCCTATGTTCCTTTCAATATATTCATAATCCGTGATTCTTTACGAAATTCATCCTTTTGAACCTTCGCCGTGTCCGTCCGTACCTTCCGATCTCACCTTACCCATCGGTATTGAGTATAAGCAAGCTCACCAGTTTCATTTCCTTCCAACCCCTCGTACCCCGCCACCGCCTTCATTACCTATCTACAGTTATATATCAATGATAATATGCCTGTCCTAGCCTCCAACACCGACAAGAATCACTATCTTCTGAACACAACGAGTACCACTGTCATTATCACCCTTTTTGTTGCTCTAGCAATACTTCTAATTCGAAAAAAACTTTTACTTGGTTCCATCCTGTTGTCCTCATCTCAATACCAAAGTCTCAAAATGGCGTCTCAGCAATATGAAGAAACTGAAAAGGGGAAATCCCAGTACCGGGAAGAAAGCGAAGCAGAGCAAAACACCAATACGGAAAACGAGCAAGCGAATCTTGGACCACGAGCCAGCGACACACGCTCACTGTCATCACAATTCCCCCCACCAACACTAAAACCCTTCATCCCACCCCCCGTCTCTTCGTCATCCAACACAGATTACTTCACCTCTCCCGTCTCCGAAACTCCCAGCAGCTTCTCCCAATCGACCTCCTTCTCCGAGTCCCCGGAAACCCCACAAGAAGGACAGAACCCCCGAAGAAGGTCTTACACCAAGACCCTCTCGCTTCCCTTGCCCAATCAGGCAATGCCCATACCTCACCCTTCCCCATCAACTACCTCTTTCCCCACGCCTACTTCTCATCCAGCTGCTGAGTCTAGCATGTATGAATATGGCCAGCCTATCGAACCCGGGCCAATGTACTTGACAGGTGAGAAGATTGTTCAAGTCGAGGTCCAGGGCGAGATCATTGTCGCGGAGGGGTGGAGGAGACATACGCGTGTGTTTGGGGGCGGAGTGTGTAAAGCGTGCGAGGAAAGTAAGCAGGAAGTTGAGAGGAGAGGAACGGCATAAGAAGACAAAATTTCCTTCCCACCACCATCAGCGCCAGAAATGGAAAAAAGGCATTATCTCATCCGAAGCAAAAAAGAAGACCACGCAAAATCACCATTTACGAGAGCAATCCAAGGGGGCTGGTATCGATGTCGTTAGATCGCGGAACCGAGAATCCCAAATCACCAAAAATAGCATACCCGTCGCTTTCCTTTCGAAGAAATAAGCGACCTACTATCCCATGCTTTTACTCCACGGGACAAAAAGACCATTACGAAACCTTCCCATTCTATTTTTTTGGATTCCGCAACTTCCTTCCAGTCAACCTACAAAATCGGGATCCCTTCCGGTAGTTGGAGGCGTAAAGAATCGGACGGGCCGAAACCGCGTGGCCTTACAGTATGTGCCGCTGGGGAGGAAGGACCTGTCTAGCTGGGTGAGCTGGGATGTTTTGCCGTTTTTTTACGTGATTCTCTTGTGTGGGGATACCGTATCGTTTTCCTTTGGTTTGTCTTCTTTACGAGTTTCTTTTTTTGGTTGTGTTGGATTTGGGGGGTGAAGTCGTGTAGGGTAATTTGACCAAGTGGAATCGAACCGGGTGGTGGGTGTAGTGCGCTGATGTTGCTGGGGACGGTGGCTTTCTTTTTGTTTCTGATTTTTTTTTTGTTTTCTTTCATTGTTTTTTACAGGGTTTTTGAGCAATCATATTGTTGAATTGAATTGGATTGGTTGTTTTGCTGGTGCTTGATTTGAGAGTTTGTAGAAGAAGATGAGATAGATAAAATTCAGAATGTTTGTGTGTGTCTATTCTCATGGGTAATTTCTTTGTCGCTTTACCCATAGTATAGTATGCTTGAATAATAATCTTGTAGCGTGAGTGGGTTACTTGAGTCCTCATACAAGCTTATACCTCTAGATTAATCTTCTAGTATTTAACATCACTTATCTCTAGCCCGCGGCCCATGAATCTCCATCTCCATCTAGAAACCAAATTTCTCACTAAGTATAACCAGAGACTCCAATGAACTAAATAGATAATTTTCAACTCACACCAGCGATCCATACTGTCGGTATATAATTCTGGTGAATAGCACCTTGTACGAGAGCCTGGTGGATCTATATGCTTTAGGTCATGTGAGTGGCTTGCCACTCATATACTTAAGCTTGTAGGGTACCACCTCTCTTTACCTTTACTCTTCATACACGAATGAATACAAACAGAGATTATATTTGTGTATCACCCTTTTACGACTACCAGGTCGTACCAACACATACCAGCCCAGCTCCCTTACTTATACATCCCCTTCCTATCCTCGCTTAATTACCACCAACTCACCACCAACCAACCCCCAATCCGCAACTCCACCCCTCCAACCCCTCCCATCAAAATATCAAAACAATCCAACATAAACCCGCTTCATAACCAGCCCCTCGTATTCCCCACTTCATATCATCATCTATGTTAGTACCTCCAACGAGTGTTTCCACCACATAAACAAGTTGGAAAAGAACCATTCAGCGGGGTTCCCGTTAGTACTGTAATAAAGGGGAAGCTTGTACTAGGGTTATGTAATCCTGAATTCTGTTAAAAGTAGGTAATTGACAGCCATCGAATCTAAGCACAACGCACTAGCACTTTCTAGTCCCCCTAGTACTCTCGGTACTATACAATATACCCTTCGATACCATCTCACGAGTTTCTAGAACAAACAATAGCTCGAAAATATAGGAGTAAGCATAAATCGTATCCCCCTTCCTCTTGGCTGTTCCCACTATATCCCAGCCAGCATAATTACCAGACCAAGAAACTCCTACGACTTCCCATAAAAGCCCCCCACTCACCTCCTCCAAAAAAGCCGCAATCAAAACCAAGGGAAAGTTACTACAGCAACTCGTTAAGTCACTATAGAAAAGACATCCTCCCAAAACCCATTCCACTCCCACGCCTTCACCATCAAAACACCCATTCACATCCACATCAACATTTACCATCCCCTCCGTAATTGAATTCCGCTCCTGCCAAAATGAATATTCACCAACATAAAAAGGTCCAGACAATTTACTTAGTCCCAATAGAAACAGAGAGAAAAATTGTATAATCTATCTATCTATACAACACCCACCTATCCACCACTTTCCCCGCTAATACTATGACTTTCTCAAACCCTTTTACAAAGCGAACACGGGATAAGAAGTCTCTCTTTTACCATCAGCTTACTTTTTCTAGGTAATCGATAACTTCTCCTCGAGTTGATCTACAGTAGAATCTTGTTCCCTGTCTCCCAATTACTCGTACTTGGTGTAGGTAGGTAGGGAGGTAGGTACAAACTCCCCTTTACTTGTTACTTTCCCACCCCATGCCACCAGACCCCCACGCCTTCCTCTGCTCCAAAGCCCATCACCAACATCACCAGAATAACCACAAATTTCACAAATCTCACAAAGACACTCATCCCATCACTCAAACTTTTAATAAGTGAAATCCCTTTATTGAATCAAACAATCAATCGACCATATATACTACTCCCCCGGCCTCATCCCAAGCAGAGCCAACCAACCCAGCTAAATACATCCCATTCCACTCCCCTCTTCACCCCAGACCTTCTACTCCACAAACCCAACACAGCCTTTTCTATCCACCTACTCACCCACCCATCCACACCAAAACACCACCACAACCCCATGCACTCCACAAAACAGCCTCACAAAACAATATAAGTTATAACAAAATATACAAACCCACTCCCTCCCTCCTCTCCGACCCCCCAGGAGTCCAGACCCCTCAATCCTCTCCCTCACGTCTCTTCCCGAACCAACTCCACTCCTCAAGTCAAAAGGAAAGGAGCCACGATCCCAAAAAACGATATATCATTGCAAAATTAAATCACCTCCACCTCCAAACCAAAGGAGACAGGACAAGAAAGAAGCCAGCAAGGGAAGAAAGAGGAAACCGATCCGTTTTATATCTCACTCAAGAGACAGAGAAAGGGAAGCAAGAACCGCCTCACCGCGAAAAAACAAAAAAGAACCCCCCCGCCATTCGCTAAAAGTTCCAAATCCCTTCCATACCGATTCCAATTGCCCAATTCCCAGAATGGGTAAGATTAAAAAAAACCCCCTGAATCAACGAAAGAGTAAGAGAGATAAAGTTACAACTGCCCCATCGCCAAACCATTCGCTCTTGCAGCTTAATCACCGGCTAAAGGTTCCCTCGCTCACGCATCTAATCAACAATAGCACTTTCCCCTCCGACCTCACCCGTCCTGCTATCCCCATCATGCGATCCCACATCAACCCGAACATTCCTCATGGCCGCCCTCTGACTCTGCACAAAGACTTCCCAACCCTCGGGGTCCTGTTCCTTCAATTCCTTCTTCAACATTCTCGCCTCATTACTCATATCATCCAATAACCTCTCATCCCCAATAAGATTTAACCGCTCTATAATCTCCTGACCTCCAAGTCCATCGACCATAGCTCTCAACATTTGGAGATGCTTAGGTTGTTCATGCTGCTTCGTTTCCGGATCTTCGGAATCCGGCTTCAAAATATCCCTCCGGAACTTCTGTCCGAAGCGATGCATACGGCCTTCTTCCTCGCTTAGCGCCCTGGAAGCGAGCGAGACATCGGAATTGTGTCGAGATAGGACGGGACGGATACCATGTCCTTCTTCGTCATCCGAATTGGGTACTTCCACGAGAGCGTGTTCGTTATCTGACGTGTATCCATCATGTCCGGAAATTTCGATACTTTCGGAAGGACTTTCGTGCCTAAGGTTGGCAACTTCTGTAACAGGTGGTGTGGATGGGGGTTCGGATATACGAGTCTCGGGATATTCGTCTTCAAATCGATTGATCATACCCTCGAGCGTTTGGTCCAGGAATATAAGGCGTTCTGAAATATTCAATGAGCATGGAAGAATCAAAAGAAGTAGGGGTACATACGATAAGTAACCATATCCTTGCCCTTGGATTCCTTGAGCAAAGCAGGTTGCAATCGAGCGCGGATCTTACGAGCACTCCCAAGAAGATTTTTGGACATGTCCTTAGCCTTACCACCACTGGCGGGGGACATCGGTCTCTCAGGGTCATTTCCATTTTCACCCGAGTGATCACCGGTTGAATCATTCCTCAAGTCGTTGCCTCGGTTCTTTAAACAGATGCCTAAAGCCTTCACCACTCCACTACCACCAATAACATAATCTTCATCTGGGGCTGGATCATCGTCGGTATGTCCATCATTACTACTCTCATCATGGCCAACGAGATGCAACAACACGTCTGGTACCACAACCTCCTTTTCGCCACCATGAGGTTCCATTGCTGCACTTACGGCTTTACTAATCTCAGCTACTGGACCTCGTTCCATGTTTCTTAAGCAATAGGCAACCACTTGTTTAGCCAGAGCTTTCACGACCTCACTCGAATCCTGGGATGGCACCTCGATATCTATGCACATAATCGTGTTGGATACCCGGACTGCTGCCATTAGTGATGCATATAACGCACATGCTTCCTCTTGGCTGGCTTCGTCCTTTGCATTGGCCAGGGCAGCAAGCTGTGGATTTTCCATTATGGACAAGTGGGCAAGACTAGAGCTTTCTGGGAGAATTTCAGCCAATGCAATAGCCTGATCAGGTGTCATTGAAACGTTGGAGAGGTGTATCCTCTTTAAAATAGGCATCTTGGGAATGTATCTATTACCAAGTTAGTAAATTGGTGTCGTCCAATCGGCAACCTGACAATGTATCAAACAAAAAAGCACATGTAAGGCTGAGGAAAAGGGGGGGCAATAAAGTGTGCCAGTCTGACATAATAAGACGGTAGGGAGCCTCAATTCAGCCGCAAGACTCATCAACTTTAAAAAGGCAACCCACATTGGGCACCAACTCACTTGCAGATGGTATGACCGGATAACATGGGAAAACAACGTACCTTCTAAGCAACCCAATAGCACTGGGCTGGGCCTCGAACAGGGCGTGATTTTGTGACAAATCGATAAAACGAAAATTCTTCAGCTTCACCAACTCTGGAAACAACGTCCATAACGAGTCTGGCGTAAGATTGCACTCGGCTACACTCAAAGCGTAAATCTCAGTGTCGGCACTTAGAGCGCCAGCGATTACACCGAGTTGATCCTTCAAATCATTCCCACCCAAATCCAGACCCTCACATCTGCCTTCTCGAATATAGCGAGCAACGTGTTGCATACCCTCGGGGGTGATATCGTTACCGGCAATGCCGAGTCGGCGTAGTCCAGATTTTATGGCACCGTCAATCAAATTTCCCAGCTGTTCAGTATTCAAACCACATTCGGCAACATTCAACAATTCAAATTCCTTTCCTGCCAAGCGTTCACCGAGGGCTTTAGAAAGAAGGCAAGAGACATCCGGGACCGGGGGTGTCGAACTGATAGTTCGGTGAAGATGTAGCTGGTGATGATGCTGGTGATGCGGTTGTGGGGAAGTAACGGTCAGAGGTTGTGGAAAAGGAACCTTAGAAAGATCCATGGACTTCAATGACCGACACATATTGATAAATATGCAGATATATCGCCATCCATCCTTACCAATCTTGGCATTATTCTTGAAGACTACACGCTCTACAATACCACCTCCATGCATCGTCTCTCCGTCTTTGCCTGGTTTAAGCTTCCTTCTTTGGTAATCTGGACCTTTCGCTGCTAATAAGCCGGCTAATACGACGCGAACTCCTTCATCTGTCAAGCCACTGTTATCCAGAATGATTTCTTTTACCGGAACGACAGCTAGATAATCTCCGAGGGTGACAAGATCGGGTAATTGAAGCCAATAATTGGTAAGGTCCAAAGACTTGACTACCCCAGGAGTTTCCATACTCGACATAGAGGCCGTCAGTTGCTCGGTAATCTTTTTCAATATCGGTGTCTCTCGCAATTGACAACAACGTCGGTATATCCGTGCAGGATCTGTAGTTGGTGAGATTTGAGTTCTTGGTGTACCAGTTCCAGTCAGAAAACTCCCCAGAGAACTCTCGCTTGTATTTCTAATAAGCTCAACAGGAAGGGTACCATTTGCCTCTGCTAATTTCCGTTTCTTTTCTTTCCTTGCTTTCCTCTCCTCCTCACTCCTCTTTTTCTTCTCTTTCTTCTTGGTCTCCTTGTCAGCTGAGATTGGTTCGCCTTTCGAGTCACTCGTTTTCTCCGAGGCCGATTTTTGGGATTCGACAACATCTACTAATCCCTTCTCCACCTCGAGGGTTAATGTAGATTTCGGTTCCTCTGTCAGCTCCACTACGGATTTCTTCTTCTCCTTCTCCTTTTCCTTCTGCTTCTCTTCTGAAACTTCATCATTATACCGTGGACTACTGGCGATCTCCACGTCCACGCAAAAGGCTACCCTTTTCAACTTTGACTGATCCAATTCTTGTACAGGGCACCGTTCCCGATTGGGGTCCACATTCAAGACCTTCCTTTCGCATAAACCATGCTGTACACCTCTTGGACTATGCGACAGTTGCCCGCCGGACGATGATAGTCTTCGTAATGCGCTCTGCAAGAAACTTGGTTGTGTGGATTTCGGTGGAGCAGGGGTATAAGGTTGGTCGCCAGCAGCTTTCACCGCATGTGGTAGTATCGCATTCTTGGGAGAATGAGGTCCAGCAGGAACCGGAGGGTCCTGGGTCGAAGAATTGGTGGCACATTGGGAGTTTGGTGATACCGGTCCTTGTCCATTGTGTACTGCAGCGGGCGAGGTTGAAAACTTGGAAGATATCGAAGATAACCACGAAGCTCGTCGTCCCGGTGAGATTGATCCGTTCTTTGGCACACTTCCATTGCCATTTTGCGTCGCTGTTCTGTCTGTTGAAACGGTTCTTGAGAAGCCGGGTCTGTGTGGTATGGTTTTCGGAGATGTCACTTTCTCGGTTTCGTGGCCATTGCTATTCTGTGAAGCTTTCGTAGCCGGTGGAATCGAATCTGGTAAAGGCTGTGGTTTTGGATTGTGATCTACTGGAGAGAGATAGTCTGTCAGCGTATGATTCTCGTAAGAAGTATTAAAACCTCGGGTTCCACCGCATTGGGACCGTCTTTCCAGGGCCATCTCAGACATGAGTGAGGACTCGGATGGATCGTCGCAATGACATACGTACCTCTCGTTGAACTCTTGCTGGTCATCCAGGAGATATCGACGCCGTGAACGCTTTCCATATTGCAGGTTGGTGTAGTGTTGGCAGACTGGAATGGGACTCTCGCTTTTTGGGAGCTTGTTATCGGGTACAGAGCGACGGCAATGTGCTCACCTCAGCACCTCGGGCCATACCAGGACAAATTCTTGGTTATAGGGGCAGTATCAACATGTTGCGCCACTTTGGTGAATGGGGTGAGGTGAGGAGAGGAGTCGGGAGGAGTGGATGTTTGTGCAGGCGTGGATGTGAATGGCCGTGATACCGGTATTACGAGTAGTTACTGGTACGGGGGTACAGGTTGGTTGATAGGCGGCGGGGGGGGGG